CAAAAGCTGGTTGTTTTTTACCTGCTCTCCAGTTCAATTATTCTGCACTGGATGACCTGCAAATTATTATGACCTTCAAAGACATCCCTCTAGAATCTTCATCCCGGAAATTTTGGAAAGATCTAAATTCAGCAGAAAATTTTGCCACTTTTATCAACTTACATAGAAATACGTCATTACAACAACTTACTCGATCTTCATCTATTGAATGGCCTACTTCACTGAAAAACTTTAACATACTAGACGACACTCCGACGATGACTACATTTATTCAAAGAAATAAGAAAGCTTTCAAAACAAAGATTTTGGCTGAAGAATTACCTACTTTGAACAAACTTATCATTCGACGTCCTGATCTTTACGCCAATTGGCCTTGTGTTACCTGTAATTCAGCTAATGAAGATCTTCATCATTTATGGACTTGCTCTGCAAATCATGACATTGTTGTCGATCTCCAACATTCCTTATGCAACTTTTTGGATCAGCTCATTTTAGATAAACTAGGAAAAAACAGCTCGCGCTACTCTCTCTTCAAATCTTTACAGAGTAGACTTCACAATTGTTTTGATTTTCAATCCAATCATACCTCCTTCACTCTTTTAATCAAAGGATTAATACCTTCAATGCTCTTTCACCTACTGCGATCATTATTTTCTCCCGTTAACACTTCCTCGATTTTGTGTTCAACCTCTAATTTTCTTGTGCAGCTTTTTCATGACAAAATTTGGATTCCACGATGTTCTCACATGATTGATAAAGAGAGATCTCTTGGAATCTCCGTCAGACTAAAAAAACTCAAGAAGAAAAAGAAAAAAAAGGAAACCACTAATGCAATAGTTGTTAATACGCTATCCTCTCGAGCTTTTTGTAATAATCCTTCTGATAATTTGCTGGACTCATCTTCAGTAATTTGGAAGTCTTGGTTAACTTCAGCAATGAAATTTGGAAATTCTTGGTTAGATTTCGTTAATATGTACTGATAATCTCATTTGAATTTCTTCGTGATATCTTGATCATTAAATATGGTTTTTTTTGGTTTTGATGGAAGGGAATTCTGGTGATTAGTTGATCTATACGGGTTTGAGTTAAAATTTTTTTTTTTAATAATAGAATCACGTGAGATAGTTATAGTTTAGTTTTTTTTATTTTACTTTATTTTGTATTCTGTAAATCCAACATAAAATTTTAATAAACTTATAACAGTACTACATCATTAAAAAAAAAAAAACCATTCGAATTCTCTAACTGAATCGAATCGAATGGTATAATTTTCATCGAAATTCAATCACTGAGTATTATTCCGTCACCAATAATTATTAAATGTTTGTGTAGTTGTATATCTGTCAATATTGGTGCTAAAAAGACGAAATTTATACCATTTGAATCCCCTTATAGAGACGAATCGAATGGTAAACTATTCATCGAAATCCAATCACTAGATCTCATTATTTGCGATTATGTATTTACATGAATTACTCACAAATTACATCACAAATCACGTGATTTGAATTGCAGAATTATGGATTACTATACATAATTCAATTCAAAAATCCGCAATATTGCAGATTTGAAAAAACAATTGCAGTACCATCCTTAGTGTAGGCTATCATCTTAGGTTGTTCTTGACACTAATTTCCAGTAGTTGTAATGAATGTACATGATGACAGGTACCATGCGTACTCCTACACGGGTTTGTGATATGGCATTCTACTCAGGTATTTGACAATCATGTACCTAGGACTCACATACTCACACTGGGCTTAAAAGTGTCAAAGGAGGGTAATAGTGCTTCACCACAAATAAGTCATATAGCTACTTGTGAGCTGTGCGTATTATGTAAGCATCAGTGCGAACCTAGTAAAGCAATAAAAAAAAAGGGTTTTATATTTAAAAATCTGTCTGACACTAAAAATCCGTTGTATTGTAAAATTCGTTATATCAAAATTCATTGTAGAAAGAGTTGACTGTAGGTGCCATTCTGAAAGTAAATTTAGTGATATTGAAACAGTACTGAGTTACGCTATAACAAGTTTATACCAACAAATTTTTTCTGATTCAAAAACAAAATTTTCTAGACCACTGGTTTTAGGTTGAAGCAATAATGCATTATTGGAAACCTCACTGGAAAATGTCACTTTTCAAGCATTTGCCATTAAGATTGATGATATTTTGATATATATTACGTATATTAGTGTTTGCAGTCAAAAAAAATAATAAAAAGTTATATTGCATTATTTGTTGGTATATATAAGAAAAAAGAAGTTTATTCATTCAAATAATGCAACCTGAACATTGTGAAATTTTAGTATATCAAGAAATCATAAGCCAATATTTTTTTTGGTTCTATTCTAGTAGAAGCGTGAAAAAATGTAGAATTTTATAAAAAATATTGTGGAACACAGTTATTTAGTTTAGAACATTCAATGACACAAAATATTATTAATAAACAACGAATTCTAACATGTTTACCTATGTCTTGGAATAATGAAATGCTTATGAATAATATTTTTAATTACTATTTGAGAAAGCAAACAATTAGTAATATTAACTGGTAACAATTTTTCAACTTTGGCTTGCACAAAAAAACACAATTATTGAATTACGTGAAATGCTAAAAAATATATTCATCAAATTATTTGTATGATGAATGTGAATTTCGAGCGTGTTGTAATGCTAAGGGCTGTTGGATATACAGAAATTACTTCATTTTCTAAAGATCAATCGGAGGTAATGTAATATATTCATTATAATGATTATCATTATATTTAAATTAAATCAAATGATTATCAAATTTAGTACGAATTTTAGTCGTGAAATTCCATCACATTTATAGATCAAAGTATCTTGAAAATTCTATATTATGATGGATTTTTAAATGCTATTCCAACAAATGTATTTAATTCAAGTAATCAATTTTGGGAATATTTTCAAAAATTATTAGAAGAGAAATAAACGGGCTATAATAGAAAAATACGAATTTTATCAATCATTGCAAATAATTTTAATTATGAAGAGCTTCAAAAAATCTCAAGGTAGACGAAATTATCATTTATAATAAGAAATTATTATCAAATATTTATTTAACTATTTTCTACAAACTGATAAACAGGTTTCATCCAAAATAATAGCAAAAGCTAAACATCACTATAAGGTCAATTGTCCAGGATGTCCAGTAATAGATAAACCTATTATTACGCAAATTTGAATTACTGAAACAATTTCAGAATTTTTTTGCTGATAAAAATATTGTAAATTTGAGTTCTTACAAAGTGGATGTAAAAACTGGTGAACAACTCAAATATCTAAAAGATCAAAAAGAAACATTATGACAAAAATTTTTTGAGTTTTACCTCACTGGTATGAAACAAACAACATTTTTAACATGTTTAAAAGATGGTCCTTATGTATATAGAGAAGATTTGAAAGGTTTATGTAATATCTGTTCAGAATATAAATATGACATATTTGATGATCTAAGGACTCTAATAATAGAAAGAATAAGTGAAAAAACACAACAGGTAAATACAATTTTTTTTATTTTTTAATAGTATTTTAGTTAGTTCAAGCATAAAAAAAATTATATAAAATGTTTTTTATATTACAAAATAAGTTTTTAATAAATAAAGAAAATACTTTTAACTAAAGATGGTACAGCAATTGATTTCAAATTTACAAAATGTTGCAACATAAGCTAAAATTAGTTGCAACATATGTTGTAATATTATAAGTTGCAACATATATAGTTAAAACTAATTACAACGTAAGTTGCAACATTAAAAGTTGCAACATAGTAATTACAGTTCTCATCTTTACTTTTAACATTTACCATTTATTTATATATAATTATATTATTTGAAGTTATAATTAATAAAAATAAAAAATATACATAACAAATATTCGATAATACATTATTAATCAACTAATTATAGAGCTTGAATTAATTCATCAGCATTTAAAACGTGAATATAAGAAAGAACTTTAAATAGATTGCTTAGAACAATTTTATCATATTGAATGTCTGGAATATTATCTTCTATATGCTTTTGAACAATGTGATAAGCCCCACTTTTCTAATTGCAATCAATGTAATAAAATTAGAATTTTTCCATCAATTGGCTTATATAATGCCAGATAATTTTGAGCGAATCATGGAAAATTGAAAAAAACTTTAATATTTTTGATCTCATCAAGTACGTAAAATATATCTTAACATTCAATTTAATGCAAATTTGCTTTCTCTTGATGATGAAGGTGCTATTATTGTGATAGATTATAAAATGAAGATTTTACCAAAATCAGCATGAGAAGTAAAGTCAGATTTCTATGGAAAATCTGGGTGGACATTGCATACAATGTTAGTATATACAAAAGCCAATAATCATTAATTGGAAATAAAAGCCTTTGATCATTGGTTTTCAGATACAGTTCAATATGCATTATTTACAGCTTCATGTTTTGAAGTTTTCTTTAATTCATTTAAAAAAAACTGAAATGGATAAGAATTCTATCTGATAATGATGCACACTAATATTGAGCTGAATTAATGGAGATGATTACAAACTGGAAATCCTGGTATGATGTAGAAATTCGAAGTTGGATTTTTTTAGAAGCAGGAGAAGCTAAAAAAACAATTGATTCACATCATGCTCAGGTTATTGGCATTATAGTTATGCTGATAAATTATAACTATAACTTACAAACCTTTTATCATTATTTATTTCCAGATTTCTCATGCTATCAAATGGTATGTTAGGTTAGAATATGACATATCTGAAGGTCAAGACATAGAAGAAGCAATCAAAAATATTAAGGGAGCAATAGTTGCAAATATAGAACCAAATCGAAAAGAAAAAAGAAAAAAACCTGTGATAGCTAGCATTTCTAATTGGTTTGAATTTCAGTAGCCTATTCAAGAAGAATTCAATGGTTTTGTATATGGATGGGCCCTTCCAAACTTTGAAACATGGAATGATTTTTTTCCTTTCGCTATTTGTAAATCAATGAAGGGTGATAAGCAAACTCAACCAAATCCCTCTGTTTTCACGCCTGCAAATCCAAACTCCAAGTGGATAATTTCAATACCATCAACAAATCAAAATAATAATTCCCAAAATGAAATAGCTGAGTTAAACTGGTCGACGAAGGATAATATCAAAGAAGAGCTAAGAAAAAGATCCCTACTTTATGATGAAAAAGAAAATCGGCAAGCATTAATTACAATTTTGAGAGAAAATATTGCATGTGAAATGATAAATAAAATAGCAGGTAATAAATTATTTTTTTTGTAAATTAATTTGTAATAAACTTTAACTAATTCACTTTTCCATTGTATAGAAGTAAGAAAAATGATTGGTATAGTAAAAAATAATAATATTATAGAGTTAGAAACAAAGAAAGAAAAGAAGGGAAAGTGAAAAAAAAGGAAAAATAAAATGAGTAGGTGCAACTACTTCAAAAAATAAAAGATATCATAATATTTTATAATAATAATATTAGATATTCTTATATTATCTCTTTTAGAAACAATTATTTTCAAGTTGGTTGGACTTTAAAAGAAAACCAGGAATATGAAAAGAAAGATGGCAGAAAACACATATCTGAAGAAATACTGGAATTATTGAAAGAGTTTTTCATGCTAGTGATGCCCATAAAAGTGAATGATATTCTGCAAAAGAAATGCTTAATACACTACGAAAAAAAGTAGAAATGGGTGAGCTAGAAGAGACTGATATACCGAAATTGAAAACTATTGAAAATTGAATTAATCAGTATTCCCAATAACATAAGCAAGCAATGGCAAAAAAAACTTGGCCAAATATTAATAAAAACTGCTTATAATATCTTTATTTGATGTCTAAGTGGGTTTAAATTACTTTTTTCATATTTTTTTTCACTTTTGGATTTTTGTAAATTCATGATTAGAACCCATAATTCTGAGCTTCTAAGGTATTTACGCGAAATCTTTTAAATAAAGTGTGTGTTTTTTTAACGAAATGAATAGTTTAGGTTTTGAATGATGTTTTTTATTATGCATGTTTGGAACACTTTATCATTAAATCAGGAGTTTGTATTACACGACATTTTTCCAATTGCGGTATTTTTTATAATTAATTATGTAAATTTGCCCCAATTGGCACTATGCATATTCTTTCCGTTTCTGGCAAATTGCGAATTAATCTTTTATATCTTTATTAGTCAAATATATAATTTATATTTTTTGGATAGTTTCTTATACTGATGGATTTTTTCTTCTTATTTAATATGATATGATAAAAAACCTTTAATTTATCTCTCATTATAAGAAATAGTAAAATCTAATTTATACAAAATTATTAGTAAATTATTTTTATATAGTATAATGATAAATAGTAGTGATAGATTATTAAAATAATAATTTAAATTAGAACAAACTTATTTTTTTTCTTAGTAAATATATTAGTTTAAGATAATAAAATAGAGAATTTGTTTTTATCACTAATCATTTAATTATTAATAGGTAGGTTATGCCAGGAATAATGTTTTTCTGCATAATACAGAACACCGCAAAAATTGCGGAATAGATGTTCAAATACAGATATGTTAAATAGGACAAAAAATATTACGGAATTAGAAGTAAAATAAGTTTTAATAGTAATCACATGACATTTATGATATTGATGCGATAAAAATTGAAGATCGATCTTTTTTTTATTTTTTTATCGTCTTTTAACAATTTTTTTTATAATGCCTAAAAGAAGAGGTCCAAAAAAAATTACAATTAATACTAGAGTAGAAGAAAACCTGGGTGAATTTCGTGTTGATAATGAAATATTGTTTTGTAATTTTTGTGACCATTCTGTTAACTGGGTATGAAAGTCAACAATTAATGACCATCTTAATAGTTTAACACACAAAAATAATAAAAATCTATATGAAAATATACAATGTCAGCATCAACAAACTCTTACTACTTCCTTTGCTTTCTCAGAATCAAAAAAAATTATGATTCATGATTTAGTTGCAGTTTTTGCTATAGCAGATATTTCATTAGAGAAAATTAATTCTATGCTTAGTTTTTTTTAAAAAACATTGTAAAGAAGGTGGGGCTATTTCACAAGCAGTAACATTACGCCAATTATATGTACCTCGCGTTTTTTCTTTATATTTAGAAACTCTAAAAAATCTTTTTTGTCAAAAACATGTTTCTATTATAATGGATGAAACTACTGATGCTTGTCATAGAAGTGTAGTTAATACTCTTTTTGTATATAGAAAAGACACAAAATTAGTTTTTGTAGACTTTCTTGCACGTGTAAATAATGTAACTATAGGTCAAACACTTATTAGCATTCTTCCTAAATATGATATTTCAATTACTTCTTCTCGTTTATTTCTTACAGATTCAGCTGCATATATGAAAAAATGTTATTGCGAAATTTTACATCCTATTATGCCACAATTAATTCATATTCCCTGCTGTGCACATATTTTAAATTTAATTGGGTAAATTTTAATTTTATTATATATTAAATTATTTAATGAATTACTTAATTATTAATAATAAAAATAAATTTTTTAGTGACACTTGGCGTACATTTAATCATTTTTCAGTTGTTAAAAAATTATTAGAAAAAGTCAAAGAAACATTTACTAGAAGTCTAGCACGTCGTCGTCGATATATTGAACATTTAAGATTTCATGGAATTAATCAACCAAGAAAAATTCCTCTTCCTTGTAAAACACGATGGAATTCTTGGTTTGAAATGGTTTATTATACAAAAGATCATCTTGTATATTGGCCTGAATTTTTTCAAAATGAAATTGAACTTGATGAAACTCCAATGTTGAAAACTATTATGGTTCTTCTTTCTAATACACACTTTGGACATATTATAATCTATATTACTTTTATTTCTTATTTTTCTCGTCAATTTGTTCAAACTTTGGATTTTTTTCAACAACAAGAAAAGCCGATATTTCCTCTTATTGAAAATCAATTACAAATCCTTTCAGCATATATAGAGAGTAACATGGTTGCAGCAAGTTTTGGAGATAATTTAGATACATTAATAATTAATCATCATTTTAGGGCAAGTGATTTTTATCCTATTTTCCAACAAGCATTTCAATCCAAAATTTGTTCATCTTGGTGATATTACACGAAAAGATATACGTCGATACGATATAATTGCAGAATTGGATAATCCGTCTAATAATTTATTAGATGAATGGGCAATTTATTGTGGATCAACAATTGACGTGGGAATCTCATTAGATGAATATGGCTGAATATTTACCACTTTTATCTCAAATAGCATTAGACTACATATGGTTACCCATTTCTTCTTGTAGTGTAGAACGAAGTTTTTCTAAATACAATTCAATTTTAGATGATAATCGGCAAAATCTATCTGAGGATTCTTTACGTAGTTTAAATATGCTTTATTTTAATGGGAGCATATAAGATTTTATTTTGTAATAAAATATATTTGTAAAAATTATAATAAAATTCCGCAGAAATTTGCAGAATTTATAAATTTTATAATAAAAATCATGCAGATTATTGTATATTTTAATGCGCAGAATGAATGCGGAATTTATTTTTAATAATAACGGAATCAGTTATCACCGCAGAAAATCATCGTCCCTGGGTTATGCTTACATAGGAGGTGATTATATAGAGGTCTGACTGTTCTAATTATTTCTTTGATAAAGTTTCAAATATATAGCACTAAATATATTATTCGACAATAATAATAATAATTTAGAGTAACTTCACGGGTTATCAGTTACCCGTGAGTTACGGTATAATGATTCGGCCCCCTGATTATTTACTATGATAATTATCATTTACTTTATTCTTTCTTTTACAATATTTATCCTTTAATGTTATATAATACACACATGCGCAAATGTTGCTAAATCAATTTATATAAAAAATGAGCAAGAAGAGTAACAATAAACAATAAATAAAAAAAATAATCATAAACAGGAAGTAACAACAAAATGAATTTATTGAAGACTTTAGTAAATTTAATTTCGTTATCATTTATCGGTCTAAATGTATGTGATCATATCAAAGTTATTCGTTTATAAAAATACAAGGTTCTTATTATTTTGTGCATAGTGAATTCAATTATTGATGGAATTATTTGATATTAAAGTTTTTGTAATCTTTAAATTCTAAAGTCTTTAGACGCTATACACATTTAATTATACATGCATATATAAATATTAAAACTATTACATTCAACTTCGCGATTATACTGCTTTTATATACATTTAATAATTATTCATTTAAAATACTAGTAAATAGAATAATATAATATTTTTAAAGTAAATATTATATTATAAAAACTAGTATCTGCGTCGATCTTCTATGGGTTAACAGTCCATAAAATTCCAAGAGGTTAAACGATTTATTTTTATATATGATTGATTTATTTGTGCTAATATACAGATCTGTCATTTCACGAAGTACTGGAAGCAGTGCTGGATTTGAACAGGTATGATGTCAAATTGGACATACTGTATATAAGTTTGCAAGTCCAATTAGACTGATGGGGAAGGATATTTTCAATACTCGCGCAAGATTTCGAATATTCCCAAAACACAAAGAAATACAATTATCATCTACTTTTCATTATCCATAGTAAATACATACGAGTTATGTGGATTAACCTTTGTATATTCGGGTACTAAAGTAATTTCGTGGAAAAGTGTTTGTAAGGCTTGGGACACATTAGAATAATTATCGCCTAAAAATTAAAAGTCAATACAACATTATTTTTCCTTACAAGGTTTTCCTCCGTGGGAATATTTATATTATATTAGGGTTATATTCAAATGACGATATACTGTATGATAGATCTAATAACGAGATCGATTTTAATATACAGTAGCTATAAAAAAAAGAAAATTAAAATGACAAAGAATAAAAAGCAATAAGTTCCATACTTGGTTCTCGCCAATTTAAATTAATCATTAATAACCGAAAGCGGAGAATTATATGCTTTTTGAATATACAAGGACAAACAGAATTTTCAAAGATAATTACATTTTCATATTAATTCCTTTAATTATTTAATTTCTTTAACGTTAAGTAATTGTCGATGTCGTTAGTCGTGATCATTATCGAATAAGAACGGATAAAGTTTTATTTAATCACTAATAGAAATTCTCTAAAACTTATATTGTATTTGATTAGGTATGATTTTATTATTAAAAATTTAAACTGTTGCGCCACTTAGAATTTTCATTTTTGGAATCGCTTTAATGAAAAAAAAAATTTTTTTTTAATTATTCCGTATTCGGGTTAAACTATAAATATTTTAATGAAATAATCAATTTGCACGCAAGCATTAAATATTGGTAATGATAAAAAAGGATATTTTAATACGCAAATTAGCATATTATTAAATTAATGTTGACGAACTTATGTTACTTATGTTCATTGCATTCTTCTTTGTAAATGTCGTTCAATAAACCAAACCTCATAAATAACCACAATAATTCATTATTTACGTATCACTTTTTAAATTATTCAATAGAAGTTGGAATGTTTATTGTTTATTATAGATGATGATTTTCTAAAATTATCATGACATCTGAACCGGTTTATTTTTTGGTTAACCTGTTTATATACATATAAACATTTAAGGGCTAAATTTTTTTTTACAATTTCAACTTTCATTTCATGATGTTTTGTTCTCAGAGCTCTTTCGAATTATTTAAAATTTCTGATATCGTTTATATATTATTTCTTACGATAATACTTTATGTAGCGAAATTTTATTATAAATATTTCACACGATTGAATCCTCTTCCAGGTCCAATTCCTCTTCCAATATTTGGTAACGTTTTAAACAAATCAGGAGAATTTGATGAATGGATGTTGAAATTACATGAGAAATATGGTGACATATTTGAAATCACAATGCTCGGACAAAGAAGGGTAGTCCTTTGTCGTGGAGAATATGTTGAAAATATGATGAAATCATCAACCAAAAGTGTGTACCTACAACGTTTCCCTCTCATTAAGGATTTAGAAGATTTAAATATTTTCGGTACAGGGGTAATAAATAATCATAAGATTAATTCTTGGAAATACAATAGAAAATTTTTCACTCAGGCCATCCTTTCACCTAGTTTTGCCGATGAAGCCTTGGATTGGTCTCATAAATTATTTTATGAAATGGAAGATTATTGGAAAGGAATTGGGTTTGACACTCCAACTGATTACTCGGCTTGGATGCATCGATTTACGAATGATATGATCGTAGTTTTAATTACAGGAAAACGAATTTATTCTTTACCTTATTATTACAATACTCTAAGTGAAAAAAAGTCCGACATACCTATAACTTTAATTGAAGATTCCGAGAAATTTATTGAATCGATTCAAATGTTTACTATAGGATTTGCCTTCTTTATTTTTACGCCAGCTATGGTCAGACGTTATTTACCTTACTTTAAACAACGTCAAAATCAATTATTTAAAAAGCGGGACTACTTTTTAAACAAGATTGACAAAATCATTAAAAAGAGAAGAGAAGAAATTGAAAAAACTCCATTAGAGAAACCTCTCAGACATGATATGCTAACATCGTTTATTATCGCTAATACTCCCCGTGATATTAATAAAACCAAAATTGCCGAAGAAGAATTCTTGAGGCCTATGTCAGATGAAGAAATTGGTGCAAATATTAGAGACGCTTTTATCGGAGGTACTGACACGGTTAGTTAAATTAAAATTCTAATTCTCCGTAAATTTGACATAATATTGAGTGATATGTTCGTTTTCATTACAATAGACTGCCAATTCTTTGTGTTTCATTGCTTATTATCTCGAAAATTATCCGGAAGTAAAAGAAAATTTTCACCAAGAACTCTGTCGAGTCTTTGGAAATGATACGACGCGTCGGGTGACACACGAAGATCTAGATAAGCTTGAATATACCGAAGCTGTTATTTATGAAGTATCTCGCTTAAAGCCTGTTATTAACATGTTATCGAGATATAGTAATGGACCTGATGAGATTGCCGGTTATAAATGGCCTAAAAATACCCTATTTAACGTAAGTTTTACGGCCATCAACAACCATAAGGCTCATTGGAAAGATCCTGAAAAGTTTGATCCAGAAAGATTTCTGAAGAAAGATGAAAAAAGGCTTAAAGCCACGTTCAACATATGGGGCGGAGGTCTAAGGATTTGTCCAGGTATTTAACATCATCACTTTACTTTCTCATATTTTATGTTTGATACTGGTATTTTAATACAAATTTCTTTTTTCGATACGGATTATGCAGGACGAAAACTCGCAATGATCGAATTAAAATTTTTATTGGCATCAATTTATAGGAAGTACGATGTCGAATTGGTTAATAAGAATGAACCATTAAAATCTAAATCCACTTCTTTAACCGTTTGTCAAGAACTAATGGTTAGAATCAAACCTAGGTATAGGAATCATGAATAAAAGAAAAATACGGTGAAAATATAACCCATTTATTTATATAATAATATGTTGTGTAAAAATAAAGTTGGATATTTTGTCTTTTTTTTTCACCAGTTCGAAAAAAATAATTATAATAAATAAATGTACTTGTGTTGTTTCATCTCTCTATCCTCTGTTTGTCATTACAAACTTGATCAATATGTCCTTGGAAGATTTGAAAACCAGTTCTTGAGGACGCGCGGATTTTTCGATAATAATTCAGTTGACATCGCCGGGTGTGTGACTTGATTTGGGTCTTGTAAATAATCCTTTATGGAACGAAGGAATCTTGAAGGTTCGAACATCCAAAATATCTCAAATGTTTTAATATTCTTCGATAATAAAATACAATAAAGAACATGTTCCAAAATTAAATAATTTTTTTTTCAAGTTCTGGTAATGCTAAAAAGATTTATCATGTTTTTCCTTTTTTTTATTTTATTTTAGGGCAACAGAAAATTCATGTGCGAAATTTTTTTTTTTTTTTTAAAAAAAATATATATATAATCAAAAAAACAATATTCACGTTTAATAAAATAATTAAACAATCATAAAAATTTATAACCCGTGGTTAGATTTATGGTTCTAAGCTATCACATCTTAAAATACCCTTAGCAAGGAAAGAGCCAATAAGCAAAACATTTCTTTTTCTATCTACAGCCGCAACCGATGCCATATTATACAAATTTCCATCATCTTCCAAAATCACTTTTTTAGAATAATTTACGCCGTAAAATTTATCTTCGTCGGTATTATTACTAATTCTTAATACTCCAAAGGGTGGTTTAGTAAATGTTCGATCTTTGTGGTAAAAATATAACATTAAGATTTTTGGAGCAGCTATAAAGAAAGGAATTAAGTTAAATATATAAATAATTAATTATATGTTAAAAAGGCTTCGATTCAAATACTTACTGCTAACATAAAGTTCACCAGTTATATCGTCAATACTAATATTATCAACCGAATATCCTGTGAATATTCTCTCTTTTAATCTGAGTTCATTATTATTTTTGTTTCTTTCGTATATAAGTACTTCACCACCAGATGATGTAGCAACGTAAATAAGAGAATAATCCCAGTTTGTGTTAATCCCATTAGCATATCGTAATCCATAAGTGACAATCTTAGTTTCATTCGTAATTGATGAATGAAATCCTACAGTTGACCATGGACGAAATGTATACTCTTTTTTTTTTAAAAAAAAAAAAAAACAAATAAAAAAAAAAAGTTCAGTTGAAAAGGTTTTTCTTTAGAAGAGTTCATTAATCGAGAAAGAAACTAACTCACTTTCAAATGACTTCAAAGGACCTTGTCTATAATGATGATCATTAGTGAAATAAAATTCATGTTTTGAAACGGGAACTACATCATTTGGGTTGACGATTAATTCATGTTTAATGGTTTCTAGATGAATTAATTCGTTTGTATGTAAAATATGCTCAAATTTTTCAACAACGCTTCCGGTCCTTTTATGGTTGATGAAGAACATGTATAATTTATTTTCATTTTCAGGGTCTTCATAAATGCCGAGCCCATGAGATACAAAGTCTTCTTCAGGAGGAAAATTTTTTAGAGCAAGTGGGATAAATTTATCATTCTAATTTTTTTTTTTTGTTCATTTGAGAGAATTAAAAGGAAAAATAAAAATATTTTCTTCATAAATTTAAAAGAAATAAAAAGTTAATTAATAATCTTACATTGATATCATAAATTTGAGGTGTATCTCTTATGTGGTGAGAAAGGTTAAAAGATTCGAATGGTGGGAAAAAACCATTTATTCTTTCATAATCGCTTCCACAAGGCATAAAAGCGTATCCGGTTCGGTGATGAATATGAATATCTTCGCACGCTTCAACATCTTTATCATTATGAAAATAAAATAAGGTACATTTTTTTTATTTGGAAAATAAAATAATCGTGTGAAAAAATCCACCTTCTATCCTTCTGCACTTTCCGCCGTCATAGGACTTAACAGACGGTCGTGAAAATCCAAGAAGAGTATATGTATCATATAACCAATTGTAAGAATAAGCAAAAAGAATTACAAGGATCGTAATGAAGATTGTGAGAATATTTTTTAACATTTTTTATTTTAATAAGAAAGTAATTTTTGAAGAGATGTGGTGTTCAAATATTTATTTATTTCCGATCATTATTTACAATTTTATTTTAAATTCCCGACAACAATGATTAATTTACACGTGATGAATAAACCGAAATATATATATTGATTACTAAATCTATACATAGGTTGCCCGATTTGTTGATCGAAATTCCTTTTGATCTTTTTCCTTTTTTCCTTTAAAAATCAGCAATGTATGCAACTTATGGTTAGTGATCTTAATTCGAATCGGAGAAACATTTTGATTTTTCAATTAATAATCACTTTCTATTTTAGAAAAAGTTGAAATACAATCCGAAAATAAATTCTCTCAACTTGTGCATGGACAAAACATTGTAATTATACCGGAATTCACCCTTCAGTCCGGTCATACCTTACATAAAGTACCTGTAGCATATAAAACATGGGGAACCGTTAATGAAAATAGGGATAATGTTATGATAATCTGCCATGCACTTAGCGGAAGTGCTGACGTACAAGATTGGTAAGTGATTTATCTGTAATGAATATTTTAACGATTTGTCTATTTATATTTTAATTTTTTTTTTTGGTAGGTGGGGTCCACTTATCGGTAAGGGAAGAGCATTTGATCCTACGAAATTTTTTATTTTTTGCGGGAATATGTTCGCATCACCCTACGGAACCGCCTCGCCTATTACCATCAATCCCGAAACTGGAAAATATTACGGACCCGAATTCCCTCCGACAACACCAAGAGACGATGTTAGGTGAATCAAATATGTAACGATTTTTTAAAAAATGATCTCGACATTTAATTTATTCATTTTTTTTTAATTTATTAAATCTAAATATATATATCACATTAAAGGCTTCATAAAATGATTCTTGATTCACTGGGAATTAAGCAAGTTGCAATTTGTATCGGAGGTTCTATGGGCGGTATGCAAGTTCTGGAATGGTCTTTTTATGGACCAAATTATGTCAAAACCATTGTTCCGATCGCTACATCTGCTCGTAATTCAGCTTGGTGTATCAGTTGGAATGAAGCTCAAAGGCAATCCATATATAGCGATAATAAATATTGTAAGTCTTTATTTTCAAATCATCCGTTACGTGATCGTAAATTGATTCGCTAATCTCCGATTTATTTTATTACAGGTGATGGATATTACGATCATAATGATGTAAGTTTGGCTGATTTCGTGAAAAAATGAATCTTCGAACTAATCAACCCTTGTGTTTGATTTATTAGCCCCCTGCTACTGGACTTTCGGCCGCTAGGATGTCAGCATTGTTAACTTATAGATCACGAGATTCCTTTGAGTCAAGGTTTGGTCGAAAATTTCATGATCCAAAGAATCATCCAACGGCAACACCTTCATCAAAAATAAGACCTTCAACACCCGCAGAGGAAGCTTTGCTTATACATAATGATGGACATAGAAGTGAAAATATAACAAGTAGAGAGAATTTTCTTTCGAAACCCAAAAATTGTAACGGTTCAGAATCTAATAATAACGTTGAAAATCGTGTTGAAACAATTGACGCAAAAGAATGGACAGAAAATAATGATAACGAACATTCCACAAAATCCGTTCCTAACGTCTTTTCAGCACAATCTTATCTTCGTTATCAGGGTGAAAAATTTGTTAAAAGATTTGACGCTAATTGTTATATCAGTCTTACGAGGAAGATGGATGCCCATGATGTGGCAAAAGATCGCGGTGACTTGGAAAAGGTCTTAATCAGCATTAAGCAGCCTGCCTTAATTATTGGTATGTAAATATTTCTTTAAATGTATAATTTTTTAAAGATAATTATATATAAATAATAATATAAATTTTTTAGGAATCGAATCAGATGGGTTATTTACAATTTCAGAACAATATGAATTAGCGGAATTTATTCCAAATTCAGAAATGGTTACAATTCAGTCGCCAGATGGACATGATGGATTTTTATTAGAATTTGATCAAATTAATAGACATATACTTCGATTTATTCGTAAGTTTCTTCCTGATATTGCAGAAAATGAATTATGTGACATTAAAGATGTTGTAGGGTTAGATGATGATCAAAAAGATGTTTATGGGGCAGAAATTAAAGCTACCAAAAACAGTTTATTTGGTGAAGCTGAAGTGATAAAGTGGTGATGACATCTTTGGATTTTAGATATTTAAATTTTATTATAATTCATAATAAATAAAGAATTGGTTATTTTATTCATTTTTAAACTTTATTTTCTAATGATCTATATAAATATTCAAAAGTAGCAAATTGAATACCTCCGCCAGGGGCAATTCTAATAATTCTTAATAAAGAACCTCTAAAGAAAGAAAGGGGACCTTCATTTTTTAACATAAATTTTACACACTCCCAAGAGTTTTTATATGAAGCAGATTGATCTTGCATTCTTGTTTTTACAACGTCAGGTGGGGAATTGAGAACGCCTACCAACACATTTGACAAAAATCCTGATGCAACATAATGTTGAGGCTGTAAATTATCATGACTTTGTATACGAAATAAATCTACAAATGTTTTATATCCTGTAAACTAATAATTTATTATTTTTTTTAAAAAAAATAAAAAATAAAATAAAGATCGTAAAAATGATTGATCAAAATGACTTACTTTAACAGCTAATCCCCATGATTGTCTAAATATCGTAGGAACCAACCCTTTATACATTGCTAATATCCTATCCATTACATAATCACGAGAAAACTTTTTAATAAGTGAATTCTACGTTTTCGAATTATAATACATATTTACCCTTCTTCCTTTACAATTGATGCAATAGTCGAAAACATTCCTCGATATTTCGATCGATCTAAATCAGTTTGTTGCCTTATTTTAACTAATTCCAATGGTGTCACTAAAGTTACCGCTTGCATTATTCCTGTACATATCTAAAAATAAAACATAGGTTAATAAAAGTGATGTTGAAATACTTTAAAATTGGCTAAATCTTATATTTACCCCGGTGAATGCCGATGCACTGAATCAATAAAAGAATTAAAAGATGTAAGTTAATTGAATAAATTGACCACAATTAGTAACTTGTATATTGACAAACCTTCCTGGCGGTATAAATTTTCCTTCCATTCTATCAAAAATTGGTTTAAACATTGCTAGTCCTGTATATTGTAGAGACACCCTAAATAAAGAGAGAGAACTACCATTTAAGATTTAAGAGTACCAAGAATCCTCAATTTGATCTTTTAATCCATACCTTGGAACCACGATACACATGACAGGTAACGTTCCTCTGTATAAAGCTGAAAATAATTAATTAATTAATAACACATAGGTTTATACAATTTAAAAATTTACTAGTTACCAACAAATCCTTCTTTTTTAGCAATTTTGGCGAATGACCTTAATATACCAATTCCATCATAATTTGATGCAACTCGAATTGACTAAATAAGCAAGGAATTCGATTAAAATTAGGAATTTATAATGGAACTGATGAAATGATTTGTTAATAAGAAACTTTTCAATAGTTTACCTGATATCTTCCACAAACGATATTATTAAAAATTTTCGTTAGGGGATTTCAACGGAATCAAAAAAAAACGGATTTAAAATAAAATTCACCTCGTTTTTAATACATCTGTTGGCTAAAAATTTACAATTAAAAGGAAAAAATTTTTTTAGAAGTTTAATAAGAAGCTTTATATGTTTAAAAAATAAAAATAATAATAATCATCAAACCTGCATTATCGACACTTCAATTAATCTAACGGATATTGTTGATCGGTTGAAAAAAATTAGCAAAGAATGAAAAATTTAAATTCTTTAAAAAAAAACTTACCCTGCTCCAGTACCAGCCAAAGTTGAAGCGAAAATATTTCTTTTTTGTTTAGACATTGATAAAGTTTTCGGGGTGAAGTTGATGCATTCATCAACAGTATTTATATCCAAAAATTTTTTTGCTGATCCGATAAATTTCCAGATCTTAGATCTGTGTCACAATAAATTAACATGAAAACGTGCGCGCCATTTTCGAATGCGATTATTAATTATAAATTATTTCAATAAATATTACACTGAATTATTTTACTTAATCAATGACAATTCAATATTAGAAGTTGCACATATAAATAAATATTGAGGCAAATAATTATTTACAGTATCTATGAATAATAATCCAGGTGTAATACTCAAAGTTGGGCCTTGCAAAGAAATGCAAATTTTATTTTAAAATAATTTTTCACTTAATTAAATTTGTTAACCAGTTTAAAACTTGCCAATTTACGTGATTTTAATCATCTTTTATGGTTGGAATTTTGCTGCTCTTATTCTGATTAGAGTTGAAAATTCACCATTTTATATGTATAGTAATTTTATGCAAATAAAAAAAAATACATAAAATTAAAAAGAAGAGTAGCAAAAAATGTAATTACTATTCGTTATAAGGAAAACAAATGATAAAAAGGAGAGATATTTTTTTTATTCAATTAAATCAGCCGCGTTCCGTTCGATGTAGCGTAATAACTTGGTAGATAAAAAAAAGAAAAACAAATAAATTTAAATTTAAATATTTGGAAATTTTGGCTTATTTTGATATCATTTGTAATCATGTCTCAGAATACCACAAAAAGAAATCACAGTTTTGGCATCATTCAAAATAGTTTGAGCTATAAGCTCCATCATAGGCAAATAATAAATAATATAAAGCAAGGGTGAGAAATAAATATAGATTCTCACCAATCATTTATCAAAACTTTTAAGAGTTTCTATAAATCTACAATAATCCGGAAAGAAAAGTATATTAGTGAGAAATACATAGATTACGTGAAATAACATTTTTTACAATTGCAATAGAATCTCAGATTATAAATTTTCTATCATGATGAAAAAAAATTAATTTATTCTATTCAATACTTTTCGAATCATTTAAAGCATCATCATTGGTTTCAATTTTTCGAGAAACAAAGTTGTCACAAAGGATTTAAATGCTTACGTGTTGCATCCTTTCTTGACCTATTTTATTTCTCCAGGGTTAAAAAAGAAATTTATGAACTTTACAGCTATAAGAATTGTTTATAACGTACTTACGTACTTCATTGTAATTGGTAAATTATTTTTCATTTCAGCCAATCAGAATTCATGAATTTTAGCCAATAAAATCGCCTTACCTGAAAATTTTCTTTAATATCTAAGCTATACTATAATTAGTAAAATTTAATTATAACTAAATTAATTTAAGTAATTATTTTTTAAAAAATTTTTTTTAAAATAATTATTAAAAAAAATAAATTATAAAATAATAATAATATTATAATTATTAGCAAAAAAATAACAAAAATATTTTTGATAACATACACAAACTTTATTATTAATATGCTTTTTTATTATTATTATTACAAGTTCAATACTAATGGAATTTTTTTAATGCTTAATAAATATTTGATGTGTATTTCTTTAATAATAATATATACTATAATTAGATTTGACATGATCAGTTGTTAGTAACTTTTTAATATAATTATATTAAAGAATTACTGGTGACTTGTATTAGGTTATGAAAGTAACTTTATGATCTATTGGTAACTTCATAATCTAAATACATAATCTAATAATAACTTTATAACTTAAGTACATAATTTAATAGTGTTATCATCGGGAATAATCTTCTCTGATTACTTCACATAATTTATCTAAGTTCCTTAGTTGCGGTAAGTAACTTTCTTATCATCAGACTTTACAATTTAGGGAATCTTACATCCTATAGGTATCTGAAGTGCCTAGGAATTACTTCACTTGATTTATGAACTTAAGGGTTTAGAGACTTAGGAAAAACGTAGAGAATTTATTTATTCTAAGTGACGAACTCAATTGCAAGTTAGTGTAGTGGTTCACGATCAAATCCTAGATGATGAACACGTAGAAGGAAAAAGTATTTTATTTTAAAAGTTGATTCCTTTATTACTTGAACTTGTAATAAAATTGAAACTCGCAATAGAAAAAAGCTATTCTATTTATACAAAATTAATTTGCTACAGCTAACTAATTGCTACACTATAAACTAACTAAATTTGTAACTACAAGTGTTAATATAATATTAATAATACATATAAGAAAGATAATAATTATAA